AAAAAAAATCATAAAATTTGAGACCCAGCCCCAATCCAGCTTCTTGCTAATGTGCCTGGTAAAGCAACAGAAGATAGCCCAGATGGTTGGGCCCCTGCACCCATGTGGGAGATCCCGAAGAAGCTCCTGACTCCTGGCTTTGGATAGGCCCTGTCCCAGCTGTTGCAGCCATTTGAGGAGTAACCAGAGGATGGAAGACCTCTCTGTGTAACTCTTTCAAATAAATAAATCTTAAAAAAAAAAAAAAAAGAACCATATTTGAAGATTATATGTCATCTTCAAAAATGTTTTACTTAAGTACTAATTTAAGTAGTCCAGATGCGAAAGTGAGAAATTAGAACTATGATAAATCAATGTTCCCATACTGTATATCAAATAATAATAATACCAAGTTTAATGAATACAGAGCCTAAAAGTCAAATAGCAACTTTAACAATTATTGACAAAGGTTGGCCAGTTTTATATTATGCATTGTTGAAGTTCTATTTATCTAAATATGCAGTAATAGATGTCTGTTGATGAGGTCACAGTCCAAATGTAAGAGAAAATGAAAATATGCTCTAGTTTTTACAAATACGTTCACTGTTCGGGGTGGGATCAACATTTTAGAAGTTATCTAAATTAAGCACAGTGACTCATACTCTATAAAACTTTTTTGATCCTGATTGGAGAGCTGACACAGGTGACTCTGCAATGACTTTTAGCATTGATCCCATGTTAATAAGGAAAAGCTAGATCACAGAGAAGTACTGAAGTTCCCCCATACTATTTAACATGTACTCAGGAGATGCTGAGAATATTAACTTGTACACACACCACTGAAAACTAGATAATTCAAAGAACAAATTTCACAAATGGTCCTTTTTACTGTTACATTTGGTAATTCCAAACGACTGTCTCCTTATTAAAACACAGCTATGACATGCTGATGATTCAAACAAATATTAGAGTCTATTACATCTCTTCTTTTGATATTGTTTGGCTTGTGTTCTTTTCCTTATACTATGTGGCCTAAAATTAAGGGGTATAGTTAAACAGAGAAAATAATTAAATGTATATATTTGTGTATGTATATGTATATATGTTTGTGAAAATAATTAAATGTAATACCTAACCCTACCATCAAACTACTAGAGAACACTGGGGAAGGAACAAGACATTGGGATAGGCAAAGACCTCTTGGAAAAGACCTCAGAAGCACAGGCAATCAAAGCCAAAACTGACAAATGGGATTATATCAAGCTTAGACACTTCTGCACTGCAAAAGAAAGACTCAGCAAAGTGAATCAGCAATCAACAGAATGGGAGAAAATATTTGCAAACTAAGAAACTGATAAAGGATTAATATCCAGAATCTATAAAGAGCTCAAACTCAACACCAACAAAACAAACAATCCAGTTAAAAAGTAGGCAAAGGACTTGAAGAGGCATTTTTCAAAAAAGGAAACCCAAATGGCCAACAAAACATATCAAAAATGCTCAGGATCACTAGCCATCAGGGAAATACAAATCAAACCACAATGAGGTTTCACCTCACCCCAGTTCAAATGGCTTTCATACAGAAATCAACAAACAATAAATGCTAGTGAGGATGTGAGGAAAAAGGTACCCTAATCCACTGTAGGTGAGAATGCATAATGGTGCAGCCATTGTGGAAGACAGTATGGAGATACCTCAGAAAGCTGAGAATAAATCTATCATATGGCCCAACAATCCCATTCCTGGGAATTTACCCAAGGGAAATTAAATCAACATATGTAATCGTTACCTGTACCCACATGTTCATTGCAACTCAATTCAGAAGAGCTAAGATATGGAATCAACCCAGATATCCATCAACTGATGAATGGATAAAAAAATTATGGCATATATACACTATGGAATTCTACTCAGTGGTAAAAAAAATGAAATCCTGTCATTTGCAACAAAATGGATGCAACTGGAAACCATTATACTTAGTGAAGTTAATCAGTCCTAAAAAAACAAACACCATATGTTTTCCCCATCTGTGGTAATTAATAGAGTACCTAAAATGTAATGTATAGAAGTGAAATTGACATTTTGAGCCTCAAGGATTGTTTACAGCCCTTGTCCATACTGTTGCAAAACAGTTTTACTTTATTTTATTTTATTTTATTTTTTTGTTCCTCATACTATTTGTTAAGCTCTTTATACTTACTGTGGGGTTAATCTTATAAGTGTAAAGGAAAAAGAAATAGATCTTTGCAAAAATTAAGAGTGGGAACAGGAGTGAGAGAAAGAAGAAGGGTGGGAGTGAGGGCAGGAGGGAGGGTAGGGCAGGAAAAATCCCAAATTTTGATTCCTAAATTTGTATATATGAAATGCAGGAAGTTTGTATATCATAAATTAAATTTTAAAAAATACATAGTCCTTGATTAGATACAAGACAAAAATACTAAACTAAAAACCTGCAATGAGAAACATTCAAAGGATAATCTGATTGTGAACAATGATTTTTTTTTTTTTTGACAGGCAGAGTTAGACAGTGAGAGAGAGACAGAGAGACAGAGAGAAAGGTCTTCCTTTCTATTGGTTCACCCCCAAGTGACCTCCACGTCTGGTGTGTTGCGGCTGGCGCACTGCGCCAATCCAAAGCCAGGAGCCAGGTGCTTCCTCCTGGTCTCCCATGCGGGTACTGGGCCACCCCCCACCGCCCCCCCAGGCCACAGCAGAGAGCTGGACTGGAAGAGAAGCAACTAGGACAGAATCCAGCGCCCCAACTGGGACTAGAACCCAGGGTGCCAGCACCGCAGGCGGAGGAATAGCCAAGTGAGCAGCAGCACCAGCCAATGTGAACAATGATTTTAAAAATACCTTTACAAGTGGGAACGATAAAGGGGAGAGCTGTATAGATAGGCACACATTCCCACAGACTTACCCCTAAGGGTGAAGCTAAAAACTTGCCATGGACTCCAAAACCCATTTAGCTGCATGGAACTAATCCCATCTTATGTGATAAAGCGATCATATTAAGTATGGAATTGTTCATTTGATAGGACCATAAGTCAAAGGGATCACATAAATAAAACCAAGTGTCTGGTAATAACAATACATAGAATTACAAAGGAGAGAAAGTTCCAACATGGGAAGCAGTCCATACAGCAGACTCATAGAATGACAAATGCCCTAAAGAGCACTCTGACCTCAGAATCAGCCCCTAAGGCATTCGTTCTGACTGAAAATACCATGAGAGCATTTCAGGCATGGAAAGCCAAGACATAGTGGCAAAAACAGTTCTGCAGGAAAGATCTCTGTGAGTGAGACCCCACTGGAAAGGAGGGGCCATCAAAGAAGGATGTACTTTTCTCTGAAAGGAGGAGAGAATTTCCACTTTGCATATGGCCCTGTCTAAAAATCGATGGAGTTTGTGAAATCAAAAGGCTTCCATAGCCTTCTTGGCAGCTCATGTCAAGAGCCTCAGGTCATCACTGACATTTTAAGTAAGTGTCAGTTGTTAAATCAACAACAGGAGTCACTGTGCACTTGCTCCCCATGTTGGACCTCTGTCCTTAATGAGGTCTACTATAAGAATTAACAGTAAAACTTGTCTTCAAACTGTACTTTATACTTTGTGTGTCTGTGTGGGTACAAATAGTTGAAATCTCTATTTAATATAGAGGGCCGGCGCCGTGGCTCAATAGGCTAATCCTCCACCTTGCGGCGCCGGCACACCGGGTTCTAGTCCCGGTCGGGGCGCCGGATTCTGTCCCGGTTGCCCCTCTTCCAGGCCAGCTCTCTGCTATGGCCAGGGAGTGCAGTGGAGGATGGCCCAGGTGCTTGGGCCCTGCACCCCATGGGAGACCAGGAAAAAGCACCTGGCTCCTGGCTCCTGCCATCGGATCAGCGCGGTGCGCCGGCTGCAGCGGCGGCCATTGGAGGGTGAACCAACGGCAAAAGGAAGACCTTTCTCTCTCTGTCTCTCTCTCTCACTGTCCACTCTGCCTGTCAAAAAAAAAAAAAAAAAATATAGAGTTGGTCTTCTGTATATAAAGTCAATTAAAAACTAATCTTTTTTTTTTTTTTAATTTATTTATTTATTTTTTATTTTTTTGACAGGCAGAGTGGACAGTGAGAGAGAGAGACAGAGAGAAAGGTCTTCCTTTGCCGTTGGTTCACCCTCCAATGGCCGCCGCGGCCGGCGCGCTGCGGCCGGCGCACCGCGCTGATCCGATGGCAGGAGCCAGGAGCCAGGTGCTTTTCCTGGTCTCCCATGGGGTGCAGGGCCCAAGCACCTGGGCCATCCTCCACTGCACTCCCTGGCCACAGCAGAGAGCTGGCCTGGAAGAGGGGCAACCGGGACAGAATCCGGCGCCCCAACCGGGACTAGAACCCGGTGTGCCGGCGCCGCTAGGCGGAGGATTAGCCTAGTGAGCCGCGGCGCCGGCCTTAAAAACTAATCTTAATGGAAAATGGAATTGGAGAGGGAGAAGGAGGTGGGATGGGAATGGGGGTGGGAGGGCAGGAATGGGGGAAAGAAACACTATATCCCTAAAAGCCGTACATATGAAATTTGTATTCATTAAATAAAAAACCTTCAAAAATAAAACAAAGATCATAGTCTATTAGGTCAATAAGAATATCTTTACACCAACATTAAATTTCTAGAAAATTAATGACCTGGAATGCATTCTGAATATTGCACTTATTTTACCTTTAGATAATCTAGAAGGACTTAAGCATCACAAAAATCAAGAGAAAAAATAATTGTATAATATTTAATGAGAAGTAAACATTACAATATTCTTAATGTAGAACAAATCATCCCAATTTATAAAAACTGCTAAAATATTCCATGCTCTTTCAATCATTATTTAAAACCAAGCTTCTTTAAAAATATTATAAAAAACAGTGTTCTATTCTAGTTTATGTGTATAAATGTATATCGATTATATATACATACACATATATATATAAATAAATATATCTAGAAAGCTGCACAATTTTAGAAATAGTCTGTTTAAATTGATATATAAGCTTACCTTAACTCTCTGGAGGAAAATTGTAAACTTAGAGAAAATATCTTTTAGCAGATCAAACCACTGGGGAAAATTCAACATTCTCATTTGATCTGCAAGCCTAGAAAAAAAATAAGTTAAAACAAAAAAAAGATTGTATTAGGACTAAAATGATAACACCTGTAACTAAGAGGAAAGGAAACTTCAGTACTTATCTAGTAAAAGAGTAAAAGCACTTATCTCTAAATACCTAACTGGCAAACTCAATTACCAAACAACTGCTACCTATTTAAATATCCTTACAACTAGTCTAGTCAACTAAACCTTATTGTGTAGTAATTCCATGTGAACAATCTTTGTGATCACTGACTGAATAAACCACAGAGAAGTAAAACCATTTTGGCTAAAGTTGAGAATATATTCTGGAATTTTTTTAAGAGGAGAAACATAAGGGCTGGCACTGTGGCACAGCGGGTAAAGCTGCCGCCTGCAGTGCCAGCATCCATATGGGTGCTGATTCAAGATCCAGCTACTCCATTTCCAATCCAACTCTCTGCTGTGGCCTGGGAAAGCAGTGGAAGATGGCCCAAGTCCTGTGCCCCTTGCACCCACATGGAAGACCTGGAAGAAGCTCCTGGCTTCGGATCAGTGCAGCTCTAGCCATTGCAGCCAACTGGGGAGTGAACCAGCGGATGGAAGACCTCTTTCTCTCTCTGCCTCTCCTCTCTCTGTGTAACTCTGACTTTCAAATAAATAAATAAATCTCAACAAAAAAAAAAAAAAAAAAAAAGGAAGAGGAGAAATGTAGCATCTCTCTTAAAAATTTAATAACTAATTTCCTAACTACAAAATAAAAAGTATTTCTCCACATGTGAGAGGTAATATGGTATGGTGGCTAAGAACGTGGGCAACAGACTGCCATTTACCAAAATCACCAGCAGCATAAGGGTACAGTAATTACTAGCTATTTGACTCTGGAAAGTGACAACTCCTCCAAGCCTCAAAGTTCCTCATCATAAAAGGGGAACAAACAGAACCTACTTACATTGGTTGTTGAAAATATTAAATGAATTAATAAAAATATTTAAAACAAGGACTATGTAAGCATTAGCCAATAATGTTTTCAAGATGAAACAGACTAATACAAAATAGAATATTCAGTAGTACTAAAATGACTTGTTATAGCAAATTCTTAATGAATGCCGCTACAGCTAAGAGTTTATTCTCAAAAGATACTTCTTGGGGCTGCATTGTGGCCTAGTGGGTCAAGCTTCAGTCTGCAGTGCTGGCATCCCATATGGTTGCCAGTTCAAGTCCCAGCTGCACCTCTTCAATCCTGCTCCCTGCTAATGCAAACAGGAAAGTGGCGGAAGATGGCCCAAGTCTTTGGGCCCCTGAACCCACGTGGGAGATCTGCAAGAGCTCTTGGCTCCTAACGCAGCCATCTGTGAAGTGAACCAGAAGATAAAAAGATCGCACACGCAATCTCTCTCTCTCTCTCTCTCTCTCTCTCTCTCTCTGTCTCCCCTCTTTTTCTCTCTGTAACTCTGCCTTTCAAATAAACAAATAAATAAATCTTTTTAAAAAAGATATTTCTTTATTGGATAAACAGGAAGTTCTCTACTTAAGTTGAGAAAATTCCTTAGGGAAGAAGAAAATGAGAAATTACTGACTCTACATGTCCAGAAGCCTTTTAACAGAATCCCAGTAACTTATTTTTTTTCCAACTACTAGCAATTCACCAAATATTACAGTTCTTTCAACTAATTCTGAAACTGAGTTTTACCAGGTGGTAGCATGGAAATTAAAACTTAATTTACATTCTGTGGCCCAAGGGAGCTTTACAGTGATCATTTTGCTATTTAAATCTTGGGCCAGTCAGTAATATTTAAATATCTACGTGAATGAGAAATTTAGTCATAAAATATTTACTATTATTCTCAAAATCAAAGAACAGGAATTTCAATGGTGAAAATAACAAATTAGATATGGGTAACTCAAAAACAAATGCTCAACTTCTCAAAGTCAGTTTAAAAGCTATGCTTTAATTATATGACACAATAATTTAAAACTTTATGCTTGCTATCCTTCATAAGGAATTATCTTCAATCCTTCCACTCTGTATCTACATGCTATCCTTTTCTATCCTACCCTCTGTCCTGGGAGGCCACTGCCAGCTGGCTAATGACGAGCCTTTACAAAGACTGGAAGAAGAAAAAGCACATAGTCACCCATCATCTGCGATTTCATCTTCTGCAATTTTAGTTACCCATGTCAAACACAGTTTGAAATATTAAATGGAAAACTACAGAAATAAACAAGTCATGATAGAAGTCTCATACCACCCCACTCCGTCCTGCCTAGGACATAAATTATTCCTTTGTCCAGCATAACCAGGCTGTATATACCACCTGCCAATCAGTCACTTAGTAGCAGTTTTGGTATCACAGTGATTGTGTTTCATTAAGCCTTATTTTATTTTATAATGATTCCAAAGCTTAAGAGCAGTGAGGCCAAGGAGACACCATGGAATAAAAAATAGAAGGCTGAGGTTAATCCTCCGCCTGTGGCAAAGGCATCCCATATGGGAGCCAGTTCTAGCCCCAGCTGCTCTTCTTCTAATCCAGCTCTCTGCTATGGCCTTGGAAAGCAGTAGAAGATGGCCCAGGTCCTTGGGCCCTGCACCCACACATGAGACCTGGAAGAGGCTCCTAGCTCCTGGCTTCAGATAGGCAGTTCTGGCCATTTCGGCCAGTTGGGGAGTGACCTAGTGGATGGAAGACCTTTCTCTCTGTCTTTCCCCCTCACTGTCTGTAACTCTACCTCTCAAATAAATAAAATATTAAACAACAAAAAAAGAAAGGTTGATGAACTCTGGCTCTATGTGGCAATAGTGCAAGGCATATAGGAAAAAACACACTCTACACAAGGGTTTGGTGGTATCCATGGTTTCAGGCATCCACTGAGGATCCTACAATGTAATGCGAGTACTATCCAGCTCCCTCTCCCTGAAGGATTTCTTCAGAATGAGTTCTTGCTTCTACTTGAGGTCAAAGCTTTTTTCAACTACTAGTCTTTTTCCTGAATTCTCTTAACTGCTCTTTTCTTGTCACTTAAAGATATTTCATTGTCATTCATGATTTTCCTACAACTTGCCCACACCTTAGTAAGTAATTATGTAACTAAATGCTCCCTAAATTATTCCAATTTGCATGTGTTATCTACCTGACTGATAACATCAATCTATAAATTTATACTTACTTCACAACAAGATCTGTATCTATTTCCTCTATTTGTGAAACTTTATTAATCACACACTGCAAAATTAAAAAAAACAATTTGATTAATTGTCTTTAAAATCCTAAGTATTCCAAGTTCCAAGTGTATATCAATCATTTTAACAGACTTTTATCTCTTATGCATACCTCCAAGTATTTGAAAGACTATTTAGTCTTACCCTATTAAATGATCATTTCAGAATATGCCTGAACTATGGTAATTAAAATGTCTGACTCTTTAAAACTGTTCAAAATCATACACTAGGAAAACAAAACTACAATGCTTAGAAACAAGGTGTAAGCCTTATATTAAAATCCCCAAAGAAATTCAAATTACAGGTTACATTTCTTTCTAACACATGCAACAGGTTTAAAGTTTAATAATAAATGCTTAGGGGCCACCAATATGGTGTAGTAGGTAAACCTGCTGCCTGTGATGCCAGTATCCCATATGGGCACCAGTTGGAGTCCCAGTTGCTCCACTTCCAATCCAGCTCCCTGCTAATGGCCGGGAAAATGCAGCAAAATATGATCTGAGTGTTTGGGCCCCTGCCACCCACATGGAAGACCTGGAAGAAGCTCTTGGCTCCTGGCTTTGGCCTGGCCAAGCCCTGAGGCACTGCAGCCATCTGGGGATTGAATCAGTGGATGGAAGGTATCTCTCTCTCTCTCTCTCTCTCTCTCTCTGTGATTATGATCTTTCAAATAAATAAACCTTTAAAATAATAATAAATGTTTATAGTTCAGAACAAGTCTAGGAATTAAAACATGGAAGTTAAAATTTTTAGTAGTATATAGAAAACCATACAAATTGCGTTAACAGTTTAATACTTTTTACACATGGGTTTTAAGAATACAGTATAAATATGTAACCAGAACTGAGTTAATGAAATTGAACACTGCCAGCACCCAGAGTCCCTCTCCTGCTCCCTGCCTAGTAACTATCTCCTCCTAAAAGATATTACTGTCTTGATTTTTAAACCATGGATTAATTTTGCCTATGTTGAAATTTAAATAAGTGGAGTTATACAGTGTGTACTATTTTGTGTCTGGCTTCTTTAGCTCCACATTATATCTGATATTGGAAATATTTATGTAGTTCTGAATGATTTATTCATTCTCCTTGCTGTATAACATTCCATCATATAAATATACCACAACTCTATTTAACCTTTCTAGTGATGATGGAATTTAGGTTGTTTTCAGTTTTTTATTACAAACAGTGCTGCCATAAATATTCTTGTACTGTGTTCTGGTGAACTTAGTATGCATTTCTTTTTTTTCTTTTCTTTTTTTTTTTTTTTTTTTTGACAGGCAGAGTGGACAGTGAGAGAGAGAGACAGAGAGGAAGGTCTTCCTTTGCCGTTGGTTCACCCTCCAATGGCTGCCGTGGCCGGCGCACCGCGCTGATCCGATGGCAGGAGCCAGGTACTTATCCTGGTCTCCCATGGGGTGCAGGGCCCAAGGACTTGGGCCATCCTCCACTGCACTCCCTGGCCACAGCAGAGAGCTGGCCTGGAAGGAGGGCAAACGGGACAGAATCCGGCGCCCCAACCGGGACTAGACCCCGGTGTGCCAGCGCCGCAAGGTGGAGGATTAGCCTAGTGAGCTGTGGCGCCGGCCAGTATGCATTTCTGCTGAGTGAATACCTAGGAATAGAAATGTTAGGTCATATTGTGTTCACATTTAGCATCAGTGGATATCACCAACAATTTTTCAAAGAGGTTGTACCAATACTAAAAAAAAAAAAAAAAAAAAAAAAAAAAAAAAAAAAAAAAAAAAAAAAAAGTGTTTAGTGTTTTAATCAGTGTTTGAGAGAAATAAAAATGAGGGTGAGTACAAATTTGTTGCTGTTTTATTTAAACATTAAGAACTCACACACAGGCCGGCACCGTGGCTCACTAGGCTAATCCTCCACCTGCGGCGCCGGCACACCGGGTTCTAGTCCCGGTCACAGCACCGAATACTGTCCCAGTTGCCCCTCTTCCAGTCCAGCTCTGCTGTGGCCCGGGAGTGCATTAGAGGATGGCCAAGGTCCTTGGGCCCTGCACCCACATGGGAGACCAGGAGGAAGCACCTGGCTCCTGGCTTTGGATCAGTACAGTATGCTGACTGCAACGTGCTGGCCGTAGCGGCCACTTGGGGGGTGAACCAACGGACAAAGGAAGACCTTTCTCTGTGTCTCTCTCTCTCTCTCTCTCTCACTGTCTAACTCAGCCTGTCAAAAAATAAAAAAAAATAAAAAAAAAAAGAACTCACATACAGGGGCTGCTGGCTATGCCACACTCGCATGACACATGAGCACTGGGTCGAGTCTTGATGGCTCCACTTCCAAACCAGTTCCCTGCTAACATGCCTGGGAAAGCACCAAAAGATTGCCAAAGTGCTTGGGTCCCTGGTACACACATGGAAGACCCAGATGGAGTTCCAAGCTCCTGGCTTCCGCTTGGCCCTGACCTGACTGTTCTGGCAAATCAGGGAGTGAACAGGAGGATTGAAGAGCTCTCTCAGTCTCTCCTTCTCTCCCTCTATCTCTGTCACTCTGCCTTTAAAATAAATAAATAAATCTTTAAAAAAGAAACTCCTATGTACATTCGACTTAATCATAACAATCAATTTGGCCTAATAAGTTCATTTACAATTAAATTAATACCTTTCATATGTGGAAAGCCTGAACTTTAGTGCACAAGATTTATCTGAGTAAAAAAAAAACATAACATAGATTGGACAAAACTAAAATACAAAAAACAAAAACAAAAAACCCACATATTTTAGTTTATATTTATAGTTTCTTAGAGATTAAGGTAACTACTGATGGAGTATGAATAGAAAAAATCTTTTCAGACAGTAATTCAGTTTTATGTATTAAACAACTTAAAAGACTTTTCATCTCTGACCAATAATTTTAGTTGTGGGAATTAATCTTTAAAAAAGTCTGAAATACAAAAAACAAATTAAGGAACAAAAAGTAACATTAGTTATTTACAATATCAAATTGAAAACAACCAAAATATTCAACATAGAAGAAAGGTTAAATAGGTTTATCCAACATAATGTTCAACAAATTTTATATAACTAATAAAAATTATGTTTCTGAAAGCTTATATAATATTAGAAAATGCTTATTGTGATTCTAATTAAAATATCTGTTCAAAATCATGTACATATGACAGCAACAATTAAAAAAAGTTACAATCTAGTCACAGAAACATTCTTAACGTGATCATTTTGGCTTTTAGGGTTGTTTTTATTTTTTCTATTTCTCTGTATTTTCAATTTTCAAATAAATGAGTATGTGTTATACTGCATTCTGCATCTGCACAAATTATCACTAGGTTAACCTAAATTTCACAAAAGATTCTAGAGTATACATCAAATAAAAATGTATATTACCTGTTTAATGATATTTTTTGCTGTAATAATCATTTCTTCACCATAGATTTCTAAAAAATTAAGTTTCCTTTGTTTTAACAGTCCAAATACAAGAGACACTAGTCTTTCCTATTAAAATAAAAAGAGTAGGTAATTTCACATTTTAAACACCAAATAATCTCAAAGGTAGAAATATGTACCATTAAGTGCTTTGTTTGATCCTTAGATCTCAACAGAATATTTTCTAGAAGCCTGAAATAAACCCCTCCAACAGCAATCTCATCATCGAATTTTTGAAGTCAGTTTCCTGAAACAGATATATCTCATTCCATCACAGTGGAGCAAATTAAACTGGTTTGGAGGCAAAACGATTGAGGAGTATTTTTTTTTTTTTGGTCTACTTTCCACAAATAGAAAATATCTTTCTCCACCCCTGATGGCCAAAAACTATTCCATGAGCTCTGTGATCTAAATCTGTGATCTAAATGGAAAGAGGACCTGGACTCTCACTGGGAAATTAACAGCTAACACGTGTATCTCCTTTGTAAGCTATGAAAACCTCATTTTAACTCTGAATTTTAAGTAATTTATAATATCATTTTATTCTCTGATTTCACAGTATAGTGAACAACTATGGCGACTGTTAAAAGTCACATAGGTAGTGAAAAATTCCCTAGGTCTGACAGATCTTGAAATTTAAGGGGCCAGCACTGTGGCATAGCAGGTTAATACCATGACCTGAAGTGCCAGCATCCCATATGGGTGTCGGTTCGAAAACCAGCTGCAGGCACAGCTCTGGCTGCGGCCAATTGCGGCCAATTGAGGAGTGAACCAGCAGACAGAAGACCTCTCCCTCCCTCCCTCCCTCCCTCCCTATTGGGGAGTGAACCAGCAGATAGAAGACCTCTCCCTCCCTTCCTCCCTCCCTCCCTCCCTCTCTCCTTCTCTCTATGTAACTTTCAAATAAATAAATCTTTTTTAAAAAAAAAATTTAAGATAATTTTGTTCATATAACCCAAGAATGCGTTCTAAACTGCAGCTGATAAGAATTAACACTAAGCAATGACATCAATTTCCTTCCAAGATTCAAAATACATACCTCTTCTAAAACTTGACAGTCATCTTCCAGTGGTCTATTTAAGTCACTGTGAGAATAAGTAGAAAATTCTGCAATCATCATTTTATCTATCAGTTTCTCTAGTTCACAGAGCTGTGATCCCAAATGCCTGTAAAAGGAAGAGAAAAATGTTATATATATTTCATTAAAAACCACAAATTTACTCCATGTTCAGGGCAATTAGTAGGCTAACATTTTTCTAGCTGGCAGTACTTACATAATAACATAATGTTTTAGTAAAATGAAGTCCTCTAACAAACCAAAATAACTACAATAATTTCACATCATATTCTGAATTCTATTTTTATATTTTTAACCTCCAAATACTTTCACGTGTTCTAAAATATGGTTACTTGGTAAATTTTATGACTGCTTTTCAGGTAAAAAAAAATTCAGATATTTTAAGTCCTTTCATCATTAACTGCTCCCCAGACATTTATTTACTCAAAAAATACAAGTATCTATTTTGTGCCCTATTCTGGGCACAAATAAATATATGAACACATATCCACAAGTACAGATCGCCTCAATTAAAAATATCTGTAATCATCAGTTTGAGTTACCTAGCAACATCTCTCAGGTCATTAAACACAAGACTATAAGTCATTAGAACATAAGAATGAAAACATAAAGACAAAGTATCCTCATTATACAAGGGATGTTTGCCACTCAGTGGAATAAGTTCATAAAAATGTATGGGCTAAAGAAACCTAGATATCCTCTTTAGTCCAAAGTAATTCAAAACGAAAGTGAAGTACACCAATGGAATACCAGTTTAGTTATCAGAGAACAATTGTTTTTTAATGTTGTATCTTTGGAGGCAATTTCAAAACACCTGACATTAATTTTTATATATTTAAATAATAAACATTTTAAAAATATATGTACAGAGGCCAGTGCTGTGGGGTAGCGGGTAAAGCTACCGCCTGCAATGCCAGCATCCCACATGGGTGGTGGTTCGAGTCCCGGCTGCTCCACTTCTGATTCAGCTCTCTGCTATGGCCTGGGAAATCAGCAGAAGATGGCCCAAGTCCTTGGGCCCCTACACCCATGTGGGAGACCGGGAAGAAGCTCCTGGCTCCTGGCTTCAGATCAGCGGCCAACTGGGGAGTGAACCAGCAGATGAAAGATCTCTTTCCCTCTCTCTGCCTCTTCTCTGTGTAACTCTTTCAAATAAATAAATAAATCTTAAAAAAAAAATAAAGCAAATATTTAAAAATATATGTACATTGAAAATACACATTTAATGTTGGCAACTATTTTTATTAGAAAGACAAAATATGGTACAATTTCTGAAAATTAGTTAAAACCATTTGATTTTTATACATATGCATTGGGGCTGGCATGACAGAAGGTTAAGCCACTGTTTGCAACACCAGCATCCCACATCAAAACACTGGTTCAAATCATGGCTACTCTACTCCTGATTCAGCTCCTTGCCAACAGTGGATGACAGCCGAAGTGCTTGGGCCCCTACCACCCAAATAGGAAACCCAGATGGAGTTCTAGGCTCCCAGACTCAGATACTAAAGTCATTTGGGGAGTGAAACAGCAGGTGGAAGATCTCTGTCTCTTTCCCTCCCTCTACTACCCTCCTTCCTCTCTCTGCTATGACCTGGAAAAGCAGTAGAAGATGGCCCAAGTCCTTGGGCCCCTGCACCCACATGGAGACTTGGAAGAAGCTCCTGGCTCCTGGTTTCAGATCCGTGTGGCTCCAGCCATTGCAAGCAACTGGGGAGTGAACCAGCGAATGGAAGAACTCTCTGTCTCTACCTCTTGGTTCTCTGTGTAACTCTGCCTTTCAAATAAATAAATAAATCTCTTTTTTTTATTTGACAGAGTTAGACAGTGAGAGAGACACAGACAGAGAGAAAGGTCTTCCTTCTGATGGTTCACTCCCCAAATGGCTGCTACAGCCGGCGCTGTGCCGAGCTGAAGCCAGGAGCCAGGTGCTTCTTCCTGGTCTCCCATGCAGGTGCAGGCGCCCAAGGACTTGGGCCATCCTCCACTGCCTTCCTGGGCCACAGCAGAGAGCTAGACTGGAAAAGGAGCAGCCAGGACTAGAACCCAGCGCCCATATGGGATCCCGGCACCACAGGTGGAGGATTAACCTAGTAGCCATGGCGCCGGCCTAAATAAATCTTCTTTAAAAAATGAAGAGAGAGTGCATGTTGTAGAATATGGTACAAAGTTCATATTATAATAAAAAGTGAAAATCAGCAAGGTGGAAAAAAGTATATACAATGTGCTAATGTTTTATCTAAGACAACTGAAGTGAGATCAAAGGCAGTTACCTGAAACCAAAGGAACTGGACCTGTGGATTAGGAGGAACAATTATACTACAATGCAGGATTTGTTCTTTTTCCTTAAGATAGACCTCAGCTTAGTGGAAGAGTTAAATTACTATGTTTTAAGTCTACTTAAAATAATTCTACTTTGTATGCATGGATTTGCAACTTGATACAATTTACCCCTAAGAATAGAAAATAAAACTGTTGAGCCCAAAGCCTCTGCCTGCAATGCCAGCATCCAATTCAGGCACTGGTTCAAGTCCCAGCTGCTCCACTTCTGATACAGCTCCCTGCTGTATCAGAAAGAAAGCAGCAGAAGGTGGTCCAAGTTCTTGGGCCCCTGCACCCACAAAGGAGACCCGGAAGAATCTCCTGGCTTCAGACTGACCCAGCTCCAGCCATAGCAGCCATTTGGGGAGTGAACCAGTGGATGGAAGATCCCTCTTTCTCTCTCTCTCTAAAACTTTGCCTTTCAAATAAATGAGTAAATCTTTAAAAAATTTTAATTTAGTAGAATCTTTGCTTGGTCTACTGCAAAATTTCTTAAACTTTTTAAAAATTTATTTGATAGGCAGAGAAACAGAGAAAGAAAGCCAGAGATAGAAAGAGACAAGCAAACAGGACAAAGAGAGAGAGCTCCCCTCCAATCATTCATTCTCTCCTCAAGGTACCACAACAGCCAGAGCTGGGCAGAGCCAAAGCCAAGAGCCAGAAAATCAATACAGGACTCACACATGGGTGGTAGGGACCCAACTACTTGAGCTGGAATGGAGGATGGAGCCAGTACTTGAACCCAGACACTAATATAGGCATCCCATATAATGTCTTAATTGCTAGGCCATCCCTCAGAATAAGATTTTTTAAGTAAGACTCTATACTTTGTATAATATGCCCCACAAAAATGACTAAATTTTGGTCTGATCTGAAACAAAAAAGCAGTTGAAATTCAGGTAGAATATTTCTTGTCCCTTACTAGGAGAGCATAATCATTTTAATAAACTAAGGAAAATATAGTAAACAAAAGACCTATTACACACATTATCTTGATTGACCAGACAAAAACATAAAAGGTAGAAAACTAATTCATATGTTTCCAAATAAATGACCTAAAATATCTGTGAAAATATGCAAGAAAGTAATTAACATTAATATTTAACAATCTTATAGCCAAAGGAAAGATTGAAAAAAAAAAGATAGCAAATCATCAGGTAGGATTTGACAGAAATTTAAAACAAAAACCAAACTAAAAAGGTTACAGCATGCCAATCTTAAAGCATTTCAAGCATGTGGCAATATTTTTCTTGATTGGGAAAAGTTTCTTTTAGAGTACTTTTACTCCTGAAAATTACTTACACATGCAAGTATTTATCAGCAGTCAAAAACTCAAGTTCTAACATCCAACTTCTTTTATATAGCTATAACTATAAAGAAACTGACACATTTGATAGGCAGTTTTACAAAAATATTTTATATGAAGAATAAACATTCTTTACACATGTAAATTGTAAAAAAAAAAAGTGGAAAGATATTTGAGCAGATTGTAAGCAATCAGATATATAATATGTAATATATAAGTCTTTCTAAAATTCACATATGGGAGGATGGTGCTGTGGCATAGTGAACAAAGCATCTGCCTATGGCACTGGCATCCCATATGGGCACCGGTTCAAGTCCTCGTTGCTCTTCTTCCTATCCAGCACTCTGCTGTGGCCTTGGAAAGCAATGGAAGATGGCCCAAGTCCTTGGGCCCCTGCACCCACGTGGTAGACCTGAAGGAAGCTCCTGGCTCCTGCCTTCGGATGGGCCCAATACAGCTGTTGCAGCCATTCAGATAACAAACCAACAGGTGGAAAACCTTTCTGTCTGTCTCTGTCTCTGTAACTCTACCTCTCAAATGAATAAATAAAATCTAAAAAAGAAAAAAATCATGTACATTTTGCAGTGAAGAATGTTTTAACCTTTAAGTTAAGACACTCCCCTCAGAAAAAATGAAGTTGGTAAGAAGGGGAAGCTCTTGCTTTAGCTCAGAACAAATACATTATAAAATTTTCATTCTGAAAATAAATATTTATTTAAATAAAATCAATAAATCAACAATTATTGGGAAGAAATATCCCAACAACTACTGGAAAGAAAAAATTTTTTCTAGACAGCTTTGAATAACCATAATTTCATCAATGTTAGTAAGTATAAATTGAAGTCAAATAAAATAAGATAAATATAAGATAAATTATATGAACTTTGGAAGTAAAAATTACATCAGGTTTAGAGCAAGCAAGCATTCAACCTTTAATTCTGTTTCTCAACTCCAATATGATTCAGAGGATGTTGGCTTCAATATTCATCAAAACTCATACAGTAAGTGAAAAAAAAAAAAATAACTCCTGTCTTTGCAGCTGCCCATTTCTGTAAAATATGACAACATTAGTATTGTTTATTAAAAAATACATACCACACATAGACTCAAATAGGGGAGATATTTTAAATTTTGAATGGAAGTGAAATTAAAAAAAATAATTTAGTTATCTTGGCTTCCATACTAGAGTAGCCAAACTAGACTTCAAAAAATCACAAATTATCCAAAATTGATTATTAAATTTTATATACAGGTATATTTTTATAGAAAAATGGTACAAGAGCTTTCAATAGATCTTCACTTGGTTAATCATCCGCCTGCGCACTGGCATCCCATATGGGCGCTGGGTTCTAGTCCTAGCTGCTCCTCTTCCAGTCCAGCTCTCTGCTGTGGCCCAGGAAGGCAGTGGAGGATGACCCAAGTCCTTGGGCGCCTGCACCTGCATGGGAGACCAGGAAGAAGCACCTGGCTCCTGGCTTCGGATCGGCACAGTGCGGCCATGGCGGCCATTTGGGGAGTGAACCAACGGAAGGAAGACCTCTCTCTGTCTCTCTGTCTATAACTCTACCGGTCAAATAAAAATAATTAAAAACAACTTTTTCTGTAACCTTCCAGCCTGGATTAGGTTCCTCTCCTGAAGTTATAGTAACCTGCATATTCATCATCATATTGTACTGTATTTTAACCGCCTGGTGATTTGCCTATCCCTCTCCCTGCAAAATAAACTGTAGAAACGTACAGCAGAGAGAATCTGCTTGTTTATGACTATATTCCCAGTACTCTACCTGGTGGCTGCATGGTAAGCACTCAACTGCCATTTCACAAGTGAATGATTAAATCAAACACTTACTTAAATTTGGTACAAATTAAAAAATGCTTTCTAAAAAATATTCCAATTGCATAGCCTTAGTCAATAATAATTTATGTTTTGATTATAAGAAATTTATTTTGAAGTAACCTCTTAAAGAAAAAGTAAGTTAAAGACTACATTTTCTATAAGTGTGTAGAGTCTGGTGTTACAGCACAGCAGGTAAGCCGCTCAATGCTGGTATCCCATATCAGAGTGACTATTCAAGTCCTGGCTGCTTGCCTTCCAACCCAGCTTCCTGCTATTGTGCCTGGTAGAGCAGCAGATGATGGTCCAAGTACCCTGCTACCTACACAGGAGACACAGATGGCATTCCTGGTTCCTGGTTTCAGCCTGGCCCAGCTCCAGCAGTTAAGCTATCCGGGAAGTGAACCTACAGATAGACGATCTCTTTCTCTCTATGCTTCTATCACTTTGACTTTCAAATAAGTAAAATAAATCTTTTTTTAAAAATTTCTTTGGGCCGGCGCCGTGGCTCACTTGGCTAATCTTCCACTTGTGGCGCCAGCACCCCGGGTTCTAGTCCCAGTCAGGGCACCGGATTCTGTCCCGGTTGCTCCTCTTCCAGTCCAGCTCTCTGCTGTGGCCCTGGAAAGCAGCGGAGGATGGCCTAAGTGCTTGGGCCCTGCACCCACATGAGAGACCAGGAAGAAGCACCTGGCTCCTGGCTTCCGACGGCCACAGCGGCCATTTTGGGGGTGAACCAACGGAAGGAAGACCTTTCTCTCTCTAACTCTGCCTGTCAAAAAATAAAAAAAAAAAAATTTATAAATTTCTTTGTAGTTAGTATTGCAAGGTTTGAATAAGGGTTCCCACTGACAGGAACTTCTACAAGAACACAGCAAGACTGCTTAATGGAATCTTAATGATTTGCAAGTGGTCTATAAACAAACTCTTTGATATAATCTCACTTAAAACATATAAAATTCTGGGGGAAAAAAAAAAAAACCTAAATGAAAAATCTCCGCAAGTGAGATCCCAGTGGAAAGAACGGGTCATCAAAGAAGGAGGTACCTTTCTCTGAAGGGAGGAGAGAACTTCCACTTTGACCATGGCCTTGTCTAAATAAGATCGGAGTTGGCAAACTCAAAAGGCTTCCATAGCCTCGGCAGCTCATGACAAGAGCCTAGGGTGATTACTGATGCCATAAACAAGAGTGTCAATTTGTTAAGTCAACAATAGGAGTCACTGTGCACTTACTCCTCATGTAGGACCTCTGTCCTTAGTGTGCTGTACATTGTGATTTAATGCTATAACTAGTACTCAAACAGTATTTTTCACTTTATGTTTCTGTGTGGGAGCAAACTGTTGAAATTTTTACTTAATGTATGCTAAACTGATCTTCTGTATATAAAGAGAATCGAAAATGAATCTTGATGTGAATGGAAGGGGAGAGGGAGTGGGAAAGGGGAGGGTTGCAGGTGGGAGGGACGTTATGGGGGGGAAGCCATTGTAATCCATAAGCTGTACTTTGGAAATTTATATTCATTAAATAAAAGTTAAAAAAAACATATAAAATTCTAACTTATAGGTATTTGAAAATAAGAGCTCAAGAGAAATTGAGTTATGAACAGACCACAAATCAAAAATGAACTTAATAATTATTCAACTTAAAACTCATTTTAAAAACTTTTAAAATAAATTTAAATATACTGGTATTCCCTTTTCCACCTTGATCTACCATCTTGACACAACATAATTTCAACACTTTCAAAACATTATTTTCAGGGTTGGCGCTGTGGTGTAGTGGGTAAAGCCACCACCTGCAGTGCCATCATCCCATATGGGCACCAGTCCGAGTCCTGGCTGCTCCACTTCCAATCAAGCTCTCTGCTATGGCCTGAAAAAGCAATAGAAGATGGCCCAAGTCCTTAGGCCCCTGCAACCCACATGGGAGACTCGGAGGAAGCTCCTGGCTAGATCAGACCAGCTCCAGCCATTGTGGCCATTTGGAGGGTAAACCAGCAGATAGAAGATCAATCTCTCCCTCTCTCTCCCTCTTCCTCACTCTCTCCCTCCTTCCCTCTCTCTTTTCCTGCCTCTCTGCCTCTGCCTCACTGTAACTCTGCCTTTGAAATAAATAAATCTGTAAAAAAAAAAAAAAAAAAGACCACATTTTCTAAATTGTGATTGGCTTTACATTTATTTAATCTACTTAAAATTTTAATTTTCACCGGCCGGCGCCGCGGCTCACTAGGCTAATCCTCCACCTTGCGGCACCGGCACACTGGGTTCTAGTCCCGGTCAGGGCACCGGATTCTGTCCCGGTTGCCCCTCTTCCAGGCCAGCTCTCTGCTGTGGCCCAGGAGTGCAGTGGAGGATGGCCCAAGTGCTTGGGCCCTGCACCCCACGGGATACCAGGATAAGCACCTGGCTCCTGCCATCGGATCAGCGCGGTGCACCGGCCGCAAAAAAAAAAAAAAAAAATTTTTTTTTAATTTTCCTTCTCCAACTCTAAATATTATTTTATGATTTTTCTTTGTTTTGCTAATATTTAAATATCAGAATGAAAACATTAATCATCAGCAGACCAACATGGAAAATTTAACCTTGAATACATTCATGCTTTTAACATGATATGCTAAAATTTACTCTTCAGGAATTTCTAACATTATTTCTAAAGGTTTACTTAAATGACATACCGGAAACTGTGAATGCCCTGAAGTTCCTGCTGTAGAACCTCTTGTGTTGTTGCTATTAAGTCCAATGCTCCAACAAATTCTGAAGTAGATAATAACACCTGCACTGTAGGCTGAGTCTGATGAACAGTAGCCATTAACTTCAGTTTATTGAACACTTTAACACAATTATTTCTAGTAAGTGCCAGTCTTAAAATGTGTAGTGATCCTTCACACATAACTTTATCAATTTGTGCAATTTTATCTCGAAGCATTTTTACAGCCTGGGAAGTTTTCTTGAGGTAGTCCTGCAATTCATGTTGAGAGGTCATTGCATGAAAAAATGCTTCTGAACGTAGAGAGATCTGGTGAGCAATATTTACTTCCACAATATCCAGATAATGGCTCAGCTAAAACAGAAGGAAAAAAAAAAAAACCACATGCAATATTATTAAATATGCTTCCCTTGACTATTCAAACACTTTCTAAGAATAAAAATGACAAAAGAATTCTATAAATATTTTAAATCCAGTTTGTGAATTGTTGAATTATGGGATACTTAGAATTGAGCACAAGAAAGTGGAAGGCAAATGAAAGAGGTAGCCCAAAGACTAATACATCTATGACAAAAGAGTAGAATGTGATCAGTCAGTATTTTTCCTCTGCTCCTTCCTTTACTCTCCTCCAAACACCAACTAGCTTCTAAAGGTTGAGAGTACCCCAAAGGCATCTCAGATTGTAGTTCTAGTTACAGAAGTTGAAGATCTGAAAGAGAATGATCTTAGCTGCCATCAAAACCACATATCACTTATCTCATAAAGAGATGACTGTAGTTTGCATTTATTGGTCTCTTCCTTCTATGTCCTAGCCACAAGGTTCTTATATTTTTCTTTTAATTAATTAATTGAGAGGAACAGAGAGGGAGAAAAAGAGAGAAATCTCTCATCTGCTGGTTCATTCCCCAAATACCCACAATACCCAGGATTGGGCCAGGGCCAAAGCCTCAAACTCAATCCAGATCTCCCACATGAGCAGCAAGAACCCTACTGCTTGAGTCATCATTGCTGCTTCCTAGGGTCTATATTAGCAGGAAGCTGGCATCAGAAGCTATACCTGGGAATCAAACCCAGGGCCTCTGATGTGGAATATGGGCATTTTAACCACTAGGCCAAACACCTGTGCCTAGGTCCAGGTATTCTATAAGCACCCAATTTATCTAATTTTAATAGTCTTGAAAAGAAATTATTACTATTCTCATTTTACACATGAGGAAACTCAGACATTAAATAGTTTGAATAATATCATGTGGTTAGAAGTAGCAAAACTAAAATGTGAATCCAGGTCAATCAATTATAAAACTGAATATGGGGTCGGTGTTGTTGCGTAGTAGGTAAAGCTTCTGCCTGTGAAATGGAGCAGGGACACAAACCCAGGTACTCTGAAAATAAATGTGAGCAACCCAAGATGCTTAACTGCTCCACCAAACACACAAAGCCTTAGATTTTTTAACCTGTGATTCAGACTTCAGGTTTATCTCTGAATACCTCAGGAGAATTCAGTGTTCAAGAATTAAAGAGATAGGCTAGCGCTGTGGCGTAGCGGTTAAAGCCGCCACCAGCAGTGCTTGCAACCCACATGGGTGCCGGTTCACGCCCTGGCTGCTCCACTTCCAATCCAGCTCTCTGCTATGGCCCGGGAAAGCAGTGTAAGATGGCCCAAGTCCTTGGGCCTCTGTATCCGCATGGGAGACCCAGAAGAAGCTCCTGGCTGCTGGCTTCAGATCGGCACAGCTCCGGCCATTGCAGCCATCTGGGGAATGAACCAACGGATGGAAGACATCTCTCTCTCTCTCTCTCTGTCTCTCTCTCTCTCTGTCTCTCTCTGCCTCTCCTCTTCTCTTCTCTCTGTGTAACTCTGACTTTCAAATAAATTAATCTTCAAAAAAAAAAAATTAAGGAGAGGTCAGTGCTGTGGGTACAAAGTTAAACTTCCACCTGCAGTAGCAGCCTCCCATATGGTTCAAGTCCCAGCTGCTCCATTTCCAATCAAGCTCTTTGCTAATGCTCCTGGGAAAGCACTGAAAGATGACCCAAATACTTGGGCCCCTGAACCCACATGGGCAACCCATAAGCTCCTGGCTCCTGGTTTCAGCCTGGCACTGCCCTGGCTGTTACAGCAATTTGAGGAATGAACCAGCAAATGGAAGAGCGTGCTCTTGCTCGCTTGCTCTCACTCTCTCCTTCTCTTCCTGTATTTGTGCCTTTCAAATAAATAAATAAATCCTTAAAAAAAAGAATCTGGGCCGGCGCCGTGGCTCAATAGGCTAATCCTCCACCTTGCGGCGCTGGCACACCGGGTTCTAGTCCCGGTTGGGGCGCCGGATTCTGTCCCGGTTGCCCCTCTTCCAGGCCAGCTCTCTGCTGTGGCCAGGGAGTGCAGTGGAGGATGGCCCAGGTGCTTGGGCCCTGCACCCCATGGGAGACCAGGAAAAGCACCTGGATCCTGGCTCCTGCCATCGGATCAGCGCGGTGCGCCGGCTGCAGCGGCGGCCATTGGAGGGTGAACCAACGGCAAAGGAAGACCTTTCTCTCTCTGTCTCTCTCTCTCTCACTGTCCACTCTGCCTGTCAAAAATAAAAAAAATAAATAAATAAAAAATAAAAAAATAAAAAAAAGAATCTAAGAACTGTCAACAAGTAGGACTCTTAAGGTTAGAATAGATTATTTGGCCATCAATCAGTTTTATAAGAACCATACAATATACCTGATATATTCATTAATGCTTACTTAATAATCTGTTATAATATCTAATAGGTAGGGCCGGCACTGTGGCATAGTTTGAGCATCCACCTGCGGTACCGGAACCCCACATGGACACCGGTTCAAGTCCCAGCTGCTCCACTTCGGATCCAACTCCCTGCTGATGACCTGCGGAAGCAGTATAAGATGGCCCAAGTCCTTGGGCCACTCACCCACATAGGAGACCCACAGGAAGCTCCTGGCTACTGGCTTCAAATTGGCCTAGCTCTGGCCTTTGCTGCCATTTGGGGAATGAAACAGAGGATGGAAGACCCCTCTCTGTCTGTAACTTTGTTTTTTCATGTAAATACATAAATCTTCAAACTATATCTCACTCTCTCTAATTAGAGTAATAAGAAATTTTTCTATAGTTTAAATCTCTGAGGTTTACGCCCTTTTCATCTTCAATATGGCTGTTCATAAATCCCTTAAAATCCAACATGGGCATGAATATACTAGGGTGGACTGCAAACTAAAATGAACTCCCTAAAATAGTGATGAAGAATGGCTAACTTCTTTAGGACAGTGATATCTGGAATATGGTTTATATGCTGCCATAAATTTGTGAATTATTTAACAGGACCATGATAAAATAAAGCTCTTTGCCAGAAGTAAATCAACTTTAAGCATACTGCAATTTTTTTTTTTTTCCAGAAAGACTTTCTTATTGTAGGAAGCAGTATAATGACTTGCATTTCAGTGCAAACTCCTTATCTCACCACAGACCAGCACTTTGGGTAGCACTATAATAGGATACAAATTTCTTTAATTTTGATCATAGTATTTTCCCTCATAAAGCTAAAAAGACAAAACAGTTGCTGTCCATCATAATGGGCATGTAAAGGGGCTCTCCTAGAATCCTGTTTCCTATTCCTATTCTAGGAATACAGCAGAAAAAATCAGAATGTAAATTAGCAAATCTGAGTCCACATCTCACAAATCTAAAAAATTTTCCATTACTTTAGTCATTTTAAATATTTAAGCAGGAGAAAGCATTTCATCTGAATTTCATCAATATTTCATTGATCTCCTCAAAGGCATAATCTTTCCATCAGTCATTTCCCATTAAAATGATACAAAGGAAATAATTTTTAAAGCATTCCTAAAAAGAGGGGTGGGAAAGTGGGTGGGAGAATGGGTGGGAGGGTGGGTAAGGTGGAGCGAATCACCATGCTCCTGAAGTTGTAAGTATGAAATACATGAAGTTTGCACTTTTTAAATTAAAGGTTTCTGGGGGGGAAAAAATAAAGTATTCCTAAAAGTGTACAGATTTCCAAGATTTTTTTAAAGGGCCTTTGTTGCTTTTCTTTTTCTTTCTTTTAAAGATTTATTTATTTATTTATTTATTTATTTATTTATTTTAAAGGCAGAAATACAGAGATGCAGAGGCAGAGAGAGAGAAGTTTCTATCTATAGTTCGCTCCTCAAAAGCCACAACAGCAGGAACTGGGCCAATCTGAAGCCCGGAGCCAGGAGCTTCTTACAGGTCTCCCACAAAGGTGGAGAGGCCCAAGGATATAGGCCATCTTCTAGCTTTCCCAGGCCATAGCAAAGAGCTGGATCGGAAGTAGAGCAGACAGGACTCAAATTGGCATCCTTATCGGATACCAGCACCACAGGTAGCGGCTTCACTCACTCCGCCACAGCACCAGTCCCTGTTTTTCTTTTCTTAAGGTATTATTCTACCCAGCCTATATTTAGAATGTGAAAAAACAATATGGGTGTTAGACTGTGTCCATAAACACATTATTTTTCACCAAATTTATGAATTTGTCCTGAAGGAAAAGCTTTTTATAGGTGAAAATGTTGCCAAAGGAAAAAAATGAGCTCATTGTCATTTTCAATGGTGAGTAAAGGAATTCTCATGACTCTTTCCTAACAATTCTCCCCCTCACCTCCCCAAGCTCACTAAGTCTTTTCTTCAGTTGCTAAGGAGGATTGGACTTAATTTACTGAGTAGTCTTCCCTGAGGCAAGTTTTCAGACTGCCAAGCAATGTCAGTAGATTAATAAATAATGCTTTCTTCTCACTTAAGAATCCCAGTCAGTTGTACAAAAGTTCTGAACTACATGCCAAGCAAGAACAGAGATTAAAAGGCTTGACTATCATCCAAATTTTAGAAGATTCTTATTATTTAACTTTGTTTAAATACTTAATATGTAAGTATGCTTAAAGTTCTAAATTCTAGGAATTGTGGCACAGCAGGTTAAGCCACTGCCTACAATGCTGGCAATCCCATACAAGTGCCAGTTAGAATCCTGGCTGCTCCACTTCCAATCTAGCTCTCTGCTAATGTGCCTGGGAAAACAGCAGCAGAAGGACCAAGTACTTGGTGCCCTGCCACTCATGTGGGAGACCCAAATGAACCTCCTGGCTTCAGTCTGGCCCAGCCTCAACCATTACAACCATGTGGGGAATGAACCAGTGGGCAGAAGATCATGTGCGCACTCTCGCTCTGTCTTTCCCTGACTCTATGTAACTCTGCCTTTCAAGTAAATAAATAAATATTTTAAAAATAAATAAAATTTCTAAATGACTTTCAAGATATAGTCTGAAATCTAGAAAACTAAAATTTAAAGAATGGCTGGCTAATAAACATGCATTCTATAAAACTAAAAATACAGTAGCAGTAGTATGGTTTTAAATCTTGCTTTAAAATAATCATCCTTACAACAGAATGTGATATTGAGGAAATAGCACAACAGGACAGGTTTATTTTATGTATTTTAAATAATTCTTATAAAATTAATTGATATGAAACTGTATTCACTGTAATACCAATATAGTCTTTCAATTGCTGTGTCAAATAAGAAACACTCAAACCATAAGTTCTTCCACTTTTACCAGCACAATTTATATTCCATTTAACATAAGTGCTACTCATTTATCAGTTGAGACAAAAATGAATTTAAAAGAAGTAGCATTTATGAAAATAAGTAAATCTGAACCCATGCAAATAGTACTACTTGAGTAAAATTTTCTACACAGAGAAAGTCAAAAAGAAATTACCTTTTCTTGAAGCAACTTTGAGGAAGCTGCATCACGACTTCCTTTTCCACCAGCAGTATTAAAATGAGACCACGGTAAAACTGAATTAAAAGTTAAGGAGTCATCCAAGGCAAAATCTGGCTTCATAAAAATCTATTAAAAAAGCACATTTCCCTCAATTAGATAAACACCTTTAAATCCATTATCCCTTCTAACATTGTAAAACCATTAAACAAAAATTAATTTGCCTCTTGATTATGAACGGAAAAAGCCAACTGATAATGGGCTGCATTATTTACACAAAAAACTTGTATAAATAAAATGTGTAATGGGTTTCACCAAGCTTAATGCTTATGAAACATAAAAAATGTTTTTTGTCTGTACTGAGCATTCCATTGCTACATGATCAAACCCACTAACGCAGTCCCACAAGGTACATACCAAAGACAGATATACGAAAATTTCCGTATTATTTCCCACTGATAGTGCCAATTACTAGTTTCTCCAACTTTATTTCTATTTTTTCCTGCTCAAGATTCTTACAAAATTAGTTTTTTAGATTAAACATTAACATTACATTTTAGAGGCCAGTGCTGTGGCGTAGTAGGTTAAGCCTTCGCCTATGGTACCAGCATCCCATATGAATGCCGGTTCAAGTCCTGGCTGCTCTTCTGATCCAGCTTTCTGCTAATGGCCTGGAAAAGCAGTGGAAGATGGCCTAAGTGCTTGGTCCCCTATACCCACATGAGAGTCCTGGAGGAAGCTCCTGGCTCTTAGCTTTAGCCTGGCACAGCTCCGGCCATTGTGGCCATCTGGAGAGTGAACCAGCAGATGGAAGACCTCTCTCTCTCTTTCTCTCACTCTGTCTATAACTCTGCCTTGCAAATAAATAAGTCTTTTTTAAAAAGTTACATTTTAAAACCAACACAAACACAATTTTATAAAAGACTACTCCTTTTCCTTCACATAGCACAACCAGCAGGCAGTAAGATCTACCAGTTAGTTGTACGTCCTTGAACATAACCTTGAATTCTCTCTCTCCTCTAAACCCTACAGTGATTCGTCAATTTAGCAGCTCATTATGTCTGGATTAGAGTGAACAGTATTTACTAATATCTTTCCTTAGTCTATTCCCCACAATAATACCAGAGATATACTTCTAAAATGTTAAGTATATTAAGTTCCTTGTAAAACTCTACATGGATTCCCACGACTCACAAACCAAACTCTTTACAAAAGCATCCAAAAGCCCTTTTTCTGAACCCTATTTATCTCTTTGTGCCTTACCACTCTCGTTATTTACACAATACAGTCTACCAATACTCAGTCAAAAAAAAAAAAAAAAAAGGTGTTTTGACAGGCAGAGTGGACAGTGAGAGAGAGAGAGAGAGAGAGAGAGAGAAAGGTCTTCCTTTCGCCGTTGGTTCACCCTCCAATGGCCGCTGCGGCCGGCGCACCGCGCTGATCTGAAGGCAGGAGCCAGGTGCTTCTCCTGGTCTCCCATGGGGTGCAGGGCCCAAGCACTTGGGCCATCCTCCACTGCACTCCCGGGCCACAGCAGAGAGCTGGCCTGGAAGAATGGCAACCGGGAAAGAATCTGGCGCCCCGACCGGGACTAGAACCTGGTGTACCGGCGCCGCTAGGTGGAGGATTAGCCTAGTGAGCCGCGGCGCCGGCTAAAAAAAAACCTTTTATCCTTAAGTACCTTTGTACGTGCTTCTGACTTACATGACTTTTGTGCTATAAACTCATTTAAAAGGGCAAATATGGGGGCCAAATTGTGGCATAGTGGATAAAGTTGCTGCTTACGATGCCAGCATCCCATATGGGTACTGATTTGAGTTCTGGCTGCTCCACCACTTCCTATCCACCTCCTTGCTAATGTACCTAGGAAAGCAGCAGAAGATGGCCCAAGTGCTTGGGCCTCTGCACATACAAGGGAGACCTGGATGAAGCTCCTGGCTCCTGGCTTCAGCCTAGCCCAGCCCCGATCATTGCAGCCATTTGGGGAGTAAATGACCAGATGGAAGACTTTTCTGTCTCTCTCCCTTTCTCTCTATATAACTCTGCCTTTCAAATAAATCAAATAAATTTATAAAAAATTAAAATGGGCAAATGTGGCTCATATGTCTGAAGCATCTTCAGAAAGTGCACAGAAATACATACTATGAGAAAACTATGCATGGATTTTTTAAAAAGTTTGTCAAAATAAACCTATTTTTCAGTCCATTTTTCATGAAGTACTTGAAGTATTCTCACACAACACAGCAATTAGCCATCCCCACCTCTGAACAAAAGTATAACATGAATATTAGTTATTATTTATCTCATACTTCACAGAAATTAATTACTTAATATACATATCTCTCCCTGGAGATTATATGTCCACAGGTTATATTTATAGCTTATTAATCTATCACTAGTATAAAATTAGTAGGAAAAAATTAGAAGTATACTATGATGAAAGCAAATATTGAAGAATCTTAAAGAATAGAGTTTGAGTTTTATTTTGTTGGAAACAAAGAACTTTAAAAACAATCTGTTTCTCCTTTTATGTGTGCCTTGGATCTATCTCTTTCTTATCCCAAAGAACAACTGTCACAGTCCTCTGAGGTAGGCAATTGATATTCTTGCCCTACATGACCCCCCCCCAAAAAAAAATCCACACTTACTATACAGCTCTACACAATTTTTCATATATAATTTATCAGGGTACTAAGATCAATTAAATTCTTTTCTAGGGTGGGGAGAATTAACCATATTTGCAGGTTTCAATGATGAGGAAAAGACTAATCATGCAAAAGAGAACACCATATATATAATTGTTTTTTTTTTTTTCACTTTGAGAGAGAGACAAGAAAAAATGATACAACAAAGCCCAAAAGAGGCAAAGTGGCCCATGTGTCAAAAAACAGCCAGAGGCCAGCGCTGCGGCTCACTTGGCTAATCCTCCACCTGCGGCGCCAGCACACTAGGTTCTAGTCCCAGTCGCGGAGCTGAATTCTGTCCCACTTGCTCCTCTTCCAGTCCAGCTCTCTGCTGTGGCCCGGGAAGGCAGTGGAGGATGGCCCAAGTGCTTGGGCCCTGCACCCACATGAGAGACCAGGAGGAAGCACCTGGCTCCTGGCTTCGGATGGGTGCAGCGTGCTGGCCGTAGTGGCCACCTTGCTCTCTCTAACTCTGTCGGTCCAAAAAAAAAACCAGCCAGATAGCCAGATAGAAGCTTTCAAGGTAAAATAAAGAACAAAGAATAAAAAGCAGTATTCTAGAGATCAGCGTTCTGGCATAGCAGGTTAAGCCACCACCTGTGACACAGGAATCCCATATGGGCACTGATTTGTGTCTCAGCTGCTCCAGCTCTCTACCAAAACACTTGGGAAAGCAGCAAAGATGGTTCAAGTATTTGGGCCCCTGTCACCTACATGGGAGATCCGGGTAGAGTTTCAAGCTTATGGCTTCAGCCTGACAAAGCCATGGCCATTGTGGCCATTTGGGTGAGTGAACCAGCAGATGGAGGATCTCTCTCTCTGTCACTCTCTCACTCTCTCTATAACTCTGCCTTTCTAATAAATAAATAAGCCTTCAAATGAATGAATGAATGAATAAATAAACAAACAGCATTTTCACTTTTAAGCTTTGTTACCTTAGGTACTTGCTCCAGATCTGTCCTGGATTTATCTATGAAAAAAGGGGAAAGTATAATATTTAAATTTGTTTTTATTTTACCTCCCTAAAACATATGTTGACAAATTCAATGTTATATTGGGTCATAACCAAATAACTTCTTAATTTTCTTCCTTCAGCAAGTATTTATCAAGTACTTACTATATGTCCAGCAGTAGGCAAGACACTGAACAAGACACATTTCAAATAATTTTAATCAATTATATGGCAGCAATAAAACAGCTAAGTAAATTTCAAGTATTTTTTTAAAATGGACACAGAAAGCTTAACACTAAGATTAAATTTAGCATGCTATATAATCTTAAAAAATTAAATTCTGAAATAGAAATTGTTTTTATTATTTAAGATATTCATCATCCCATCCATAATTCTTATACTTTTTTATGATATGAATTTCTTTCTTAGTTTGTGTGATTATCACCTACAAACTTACCTGCAAATGAATCTACTTTACGTTCAATCTGCCAATCCAATCTCAGAAGAGGAACTTTGCAAAGTACTTGTACTCCAACCCTTCCTGCTTTTCCTGGGAACTTGCCTCATCAATTACCCTTTCTCCATTTCTTAAACCTCTTCTACTATTTCTTTTATATCTGCATATAAATACACTCAATTCATCCCATTCCAAAACAAACAAACAAACAAACATACCACAGAATAAGAACAAAAAGAAAACTTTGGGGCCAGCACTAGATTTTCATTTCTAAGGTGAAATTCTCTCTAGGTTAACTTCACCATTTCTCTGACCACTTTTTCAGTATCCTTCAGAGTTTACTTCATCTTCTCTTGGCCAATTAAATATGACATCTTCATAGAATCCTATCAGTCTTTTTCTTCTTACTATTCACATCTCCCTAGGTGATCCCATTCATGCCCTTGGATTCAACTGTCATGCTATTATCCAGCATACTCTCTCTATCATATCTACATCTTTAGCCTAGATCTCTCCTGAGCTCTGGCTTACAATTCAGGCATGTGCTTCATTGTAATCTGCAACTAAACTAGCCTCTCACCTCTTCCAAAATCCCTATTCCCTTATCACCTCTCTCACAGACAGCTACACAAGCAAGAAACCCTTAAACTTGAATCATCCTGCTCCATTACCAACAACTGAATGGCCATCAAAACCTGTGCCTTGATCTCTAAGGTATCTCACAAAAGCATAACTTCCTCTCTATTTTCACTATAACTGTTACTAGGAACACATCATTTCTCACTTGTATTACTGCAGTAGCCTCCAAGCGTATCTTTGCCTCTGGTCTTACAAATCCCAAAATTCATTATCCACAACTATTTTCAAAGTGAAGTATATAATCATAAATTTAATCACACTTGGTTAAAAAACTATTTTGTAGGCCGGCACCATGGCTCACTTGGCTAATCCTCCGCCTGCGGCGCCGGCAACCCCGGGTTCTAGTCCCGGTCGCAGTGCCAGATTCTGTCCCGGTTGCTCCTCTTCCAGTCCAGCTCTCTGCTGTGGCCCGGGAAGGCAGTGGAGGATGGCCCAAGTGCTTGGACCCTGCACCCGCATGGGAGACCAGGAGGAAGCACCTGGCTCCTTGCTTTAGATTGGCGCAGCGCTGGCCATAGCAGCCATTTGAGGGGGTGAACCAATAGAAGGAAGACCTTTCTCTCTGTCTCTGTCTAAATCTGCCTGTCAAAAAAAAATATTTTGTAGTTTTATACTGCCTTCAAAAAAGCAAGATTCCATGAGGGCTGGCACTGTGGCGTAGTAGGTTAAGCCTCCGCCTGCAGTGCCAACATCCTATATGGGTACCAATTCAAGTCCCAGCTGTTCCACTTCTGATTCAGCTCCTTGCTAATGGCCTGGGAAAGCAGTGGAAAATGGCCCAAGTGCTTCAGCCCCTACACCCATGTGGAAGACCCAGAAGTTACTGGCTCCTAGCTTCAGATCAGCCCAGTTCCACCAATGCAGCCATTTGGAGAGTGAACCAGAAGATGGAAGACCTTTCACTCTCTCTTCCTCTCTAACTCAGGCTCTCAAATGAATAATTTTTTTAAAAGATTTATTTATTTGCTTGAAAGTCAGAGTTACAGAGAGGAGAGGCAGAGGGAGACAAAGAGGTCTTCCATCCGCTGGTTCACTCCCCAGTTGGCCGCAACAGCTGGAGCTGTACCAATCCAAAGCCAGGAGCTTCTTTTGGGTCTCCCACATGGCTGCCAGGGCCCAAGGACTTGAGTCACCTTTCACTGCTTTCCCAGGCCATAGCAGAGAGCTGGATCGGAAGTAGAGCAGCTGGGATTAGAACTGGTACCCATAGGGGATGTCGGCGCTGCAGGAGGCGGCTTTACCCACTATGCCATAGCACGGGTTCCTCTCAAATAAATAAATTTAAAAAATAAAAAAAAGAAAGAAAAAAAGAAAAAGCTAGATTCCTGAGTATGAGTATGAGATACAAAGCTCTTCATAATCTGACCTCTGCCTATTGGTCTAGCTTCATAGCTTTATTCACAGTAGAGTCAATATATTAAACTCTAGTGATGCCCCCTATGTTCTCTCTTGATTCCATGGTTTTCTATAAATTATTCTATTTTCCTGGAATGCCTTTTCCCAAAAGCACGTTTTGTGTTAACCAGTTTAAAAGATAGGTAAACAAACCTAGGAAACCTAAAGCCAAGTAAGAAATGCTACACTGAACTTACTGTTGAAAACAAAGTGTTGCAACTACCAGTTTGTTTCCTTTCTTCAATGTTAGGCGACCATCAGCTTCTTGGTAACTGAGTGTGTTTCTTCCTCATCTATTTTTTTAATTTAATTTATTTGACAGATAGAGTTAGGCAGCGAGAGAGAGAGACAGAGAGAAAGGTCTTCCTTCTATTGGTTCACCCCCCAAATGGCTGCTACGGCTGGAACTATGCTGATCCGAAGCCAGGAGCCAGTTGCCTCCTCCTGATCTCCCACGTGGATGCGCATTTGGGCCATCTTCCATTGCCCTCCCGGGCCACAGCAGAGAGCTGGACTGGAAGAGAAGCAACCGGGACTAAAACCTATATGGGATGCCTGTGCCACAGGCAGAGGATTAACCAAGTAAGCCGGCCCCTTTCCTCATCTATTTTTTTAAGCAACTGCAAAGTACCAAGCACCATGATTTTAAATTATTTGCTGAAGTGAAGGATTACACTAATGTGAGATCCCTGGTTCTCTTAAAAGCTTCCAAAAATAATTATGATTGTGAATTTAAAAATTTTATTGGATAAAGAATATTATAAATATGACAGCCAACATAGTTTCAAAATTAAGATTCTGGTCATCAATATTTAGGTCATGCTTTATTTTGATACACAGCAAATATTCATACCATGAGTATGTAAAAGAGTCCTGTCAAAGGTATCTTTCGGAGGACAAATAGTCTTGCATCTCTCATGAATCTTCTCTCTCTAATAAAAAGATAAATAAATAATGTGATCAGTGCTATGTAGAAATCTGAATATTCAAAGCATCAAAATGTTTCACAACAGAATATGAGAACATTCCAAACTGGAGCTACAATTTTACCATCAAATCACTAGCCTCTTGAACTTAAATACAAATAACAAATGTGCTTATTAAACCATATTCCACTGTGAGATCTATAAACACTTATGTACTTATACACATCCCATCTTATATAATTATTATACAATCACCATATGTGGAATGAATCACAAAACAAACGGATAATCCTTACTAATGTAACAGAAATCAATGAGAATAATTTAAGGAAGAAAATCTGAAAACATACATATGCAACATAGAAAGATAGAAATTAGTTATTGACATTATCTAAGTTAAAAAAAATCCTGCTCTGATTTAGGATTAGATGACATAGTTATCTTTGCAGAGATTTTTTTTTTTTATTTACTTAATTTTTTTTGACAGGCAGAGTTAGACAGTGAGAGAGAGACAGAGAGACAGAGAGAAAGGTCTTCCTTTTCCGTTGGTTCACCCCTCAAGTGGCCGCTATAGCCAGCACGTTGCAGCCAGCACGCTGCACCGATCCGAAGCCAGGAGCCAGGTACTTCTCCTGGTCTCCCATGTGGGTGCAGGGCCCAAGCACTTGGGCCATCCTCTACTGCCTTCCTGGGCCAGAGCAGAGAGCTGGACTGGAAGAGGAGCAACCAGGACAGAACCGGTGCCCCGACCGGGACTAGAACCCGGTGTGCCGGCGCCGCAGGTGGAGGATTAGCCTAGTGAGCTTCGGTGCCGGCCTTTGCAGAGATATTACTGAAAGGACACATAAGAGAATGAAGTACAGTTACAAGAAGACACTTGAATAGTAGTGTGCAGAATTCCAGCAGCAATTCTGTCAATTACTACAGAACTTTGGAGTCCTTTGCCTATTTTTTAATTGGGCTGTTTGTTTACTTACTGTTTAGGTGTAACAGTCTTTTGAGTATTTTGGTTACTAACACTATACCAGCTGTGGTTTGCAAATATTTTTCTCCCAGTCAGCCTGTAGCTTGTCTTTTCATTCTCTTAATAGTGTCTTTCACAGAGTAAAACAGCTTAATTTTAATGAAGCTCAACTTTTCAGTTTTTTCATAGACTGTGCTTTAGGTTTCATGTCTAAAAATGTCATCACCAAATCCAGGTCACCTACATTTTCTACTGTGATATTTTCAAAAAATTTTAAAGTTTTACTTTTATATCTATGGTCAATTTTGAACTGATTTCTGTGAAAGGAATATGTGTCTATATTTTTATGGATTTTTTTTCCATGTGTATGTCTAGTCATTTCACATATTCAAAAGTTTATCCTTTCCCTGTTGAACTGCTTTGGTCTCTTGGTTAGAAATTGGTTGACTATATTTGTGTGGGTCTATTTTTTTGGTTCTGTGTTCCATTCCACTGATGTATGTTTACTCCATCACTGGTATCACACCATCTTGATTACTGTAGCTATATAGTAAGAAAGTCAAGTACTATCAGTCCTCTGACTTCGTACCTATCCTTTAATACTGTTAGCTATTCTGGGTCTTTTCTCCTTCCAGTTTCTAAACTTTAGAATAAATTTCTCAACATCATAAAACAAACTGCTAGGGATTGTGGTATAGCACGTTGTGCCACCACTAGGGATGCTCACATCATGTGTTAGAATGCCAGTTCCAGTCCTGACTGATCCGTTTTTTGTTTTTGGTTTTTGGTTTTGTTTTTTTTTTTTTTTTTGACTGGCGGAGTTAGACAGTGAGAGAGAGAGAGAGAGAGAGAGAGAGAGACAGAGAAAAAGGTCTTCCTTTTTCCATTGGTTCACCCCCCAAGTGGCCACTACGGCCGGCGCTGTGCCAATCCGAAGCCAGGAGCCAGGTGCTTCCTCCTGGTCTCCCATGTGGGTGCAGGGCCCAAGCACTTGGGCCATCCTCCACTGCCTTCCTGGGCCACAGCAGAGAGCTGGACTGGAAGAGGAGCAACCAGGACAGAATCCGGTGCCCCGACCAGGACTAGAACCCGGGGTGCCAGCGCCACAGGTGGAGGATTAGCCTAGTGAGCCACGGTGCTGGCCTCTGATCCGCTTCTGATCTAGCTTCTTGTTGTTGCTCCTGGGAAGGCAGTGGATGATGGCCCAAGTGCTTGGGTCCTAACCATGTACACAGGAGACAGAGATGGAGTTCCTGGTTCCTGGTTTGAGTCTGGCTCAGCCCTGGCTGTTGTGGGCACCTGGGGCGTGAGCCAGTGGATGAAAGGTCTGCCTGTCTCTCCTTCTCTCACTGTAACTCTTTCTAATAAAAAAATCTTTTAAGTAAATATTTTTAAAAACTGCTAGGATATTCACTGTAATCATTGATTCTATAGAAGAAAGCAATTAACTTTTGTTTACTAACCATGTATTCTGCAACCTTGCCATCCTTGTTTATTATTTTCAGAAGTTTCATTTTTGATTCTTTGGAATTTTCTACATAAACAATATATCAGCTGTGAGCGAAGTTTTATTTCTTCCATTTCTAATCTGAATACTTTTTCTTTTCTTCACTTCTTGCATTAGAGATTACAGTACAATGTTGAAAAGGAATAGTAAGAGGGGATATCTTTACCAGTTCCTCAATGTTACTGGGAAGCATCTAGTTTCCCATCATTAGCTGCAGGGTTTTTGTAGATGTTCCTTATCAAGTTGAAGAAGTTTGCTGAGAGGTTGTTTTGCTTTTGTTTTCTTAATCATGAAGGGGTACTGGATCTTGTCAAATGTTTTCTTTATTTATATGACCACATGATTCTTCAGCTTTTAGCCTGTTAATGTGGTTAATTATACATAACTTGCTTTTTGGATACTGAACCAGCCCTTCCCTTCTGGAATAAATCTCACTTGGTCATGGTATATAATTCTTTTTATACTTTGTTGGGTTCAATTTTCTAATATTTTGTTAAGAATTTTACATCCATGTTCATTAAAGACGGTGGCCTATAATTTTCTTGTAATACTTTTGTCTAATTTTAGTATTAGATTAATGCTGATGTCAAAGAATTAGTAAGTATTCCCCATGTTTCTCTTTCCTGGAATAGACAGTAAAAATTGCTATAATTTCTACTTTGTATTTATATGGCTGCTGTAATTCCTCAGTGAACCCATCTGGGCTTAGTACTTTCCATTTTGAGAAGTTATCATTCAATGTATTTAATAAAGGTCTATTCAGAATACCTAGTACTGAGTAAATTTTGGTAGAGTTTATCTTTCAAAGAATCGGTTCTTTCAGTTAGGTTATCAAATTCACAGGCACAGAATAATTCACAATATTCTTTTATTATACTACTAGTGTTCATGGAATCAGTAGCAATAGCCTTTCTTTTATTTCTAATAGTAGCAGTTTATTTCTTTTTATCATAGTTAATCTTGCTACACAATTATCTATTTTATTGATAAAACTTTTGGTTTTGTTAATTTTCTCTAATGACTTACTATTGTCCATTTTGCTGAAGTCCTAACTTTTTATTGCTTTTCTTCTACTTTGAATTTATTTCAATCTTATTTTTCTTATTTCCTAAGGTAAAAGCTTAGATTCTTCAGTTGACACCTTTCTTCTTTTCTAATATATGCATTCAATGCTATAAATTTCCCTCTAAGCAGTGTTTTCACTGTATACCATAAATTTTATAAATTTCTAACATTTCTTTAAGCTCAAAGGTTCTTTGCCACTTCAAGTCTACTGATGAACCCAACATAGGCATTCTTCATTTCTGTTACAGTGTCTTTGATTTCTAACATTTCTTTTTGATTTTTAAGAATTTCGATCTTGGCCAGCGCCACGGCTCACTTGGCTAGTGCTCCACCTGCGGCGCCGGCACCCTGGGTTCTAGTCCCGGTTGAGGCACCAGATTCTCTCCCAGTTGCCCCTCTTCCAGTCAGCTCTCTGCTTGGGCCCTGCACCTGCATGGGAGACCAGGAGGAAGCACGAGGCTCCTGGCTTCAGATTAGCACAGCGTGCCGGCCGTAGCAGCCATTTGGGGGGTGAACCAATGAACCAATGAAGACCTTTCTGTCTGTCTCTCTCACATTAACTCTGCCTGTCAAAAAAAAAAAAAAAAAAAAGAATTTCCATCTCTGCTTGTATTATCCATCTATGCTTACATATTTTCTGCTAGAGTCATCAGCATATTACTCATATTTTTTTCAAGTTCACAGTTTGATTATTTCAACATCACTGTCACACTGCAGTCTAGTTTTGATGCTTGCTCTGTCTCTTTAACCTGTATTTTTTGTCTTTAGTGTGCAATGTTTTTCTGCTGCTATTGTTGTTGAATATCATATGATGTACTAGATAAAAGGTACTAAAATAAACAGGCCATCAGTGTGACATTCTATGTTTGACAAGTTAGGAATCACGATGTATTTATTGAATGCAGTAGCTGTAGGTGACAGGCTAAAATTTCCTCTGATATCCTTATTTTCATTTCTCCAGCTACCTTTGGGTTTCCCTACAGACTTCATAAATAAGATCCAAAATATGCAACTGTATTCCAATTATTATTTGGGCTTCCAACTGATGAGGTAATGTAAGAGAAAGGGAAGCATTCTATGATCTTAAAGTTAGGCTTCAGGGGCCAGCACTGTGGCACAGCACATTAAGTCGCTGCCTGTGATTCCAGTATCCCATACAGACATCGATGTAAGTCCTGGCTACTCCCTATCCAGCTCCCTGTTAATGCACCTGGGAAAGCAGAAGATGGCCCAAGTTCTTGGGCCCTTGCCACCCTCTTGGGAGACCAGGATGGAGTTCCAGGTTCCTGACTTTAGCCTGGCCCAGCCCTGGTTGTTGTGGGCATCTGGGGAGTGAACCAGCAAAGATCTCATTTTCTTTCCATCTCTCCCTCTCTCTCTGTAACTCTGCCTTTCAAATATATTTTTTTTAAAAAAGGTTAAATATCAGTCTTAATGAGTACAAGTTTCTAGGCTGTAACCTTCACAAGTGTTTCTTGTTGAGTTTATACTTGTTCAGATTTTTTGTTGTTGTGAGAATAGGACTAATAATTTCTAAGCTCCTCATAGGACAGAGCAGAGGTATATTTAGCTTTTTAAGAACTGCCAAACTGCTTTAAACAAACTGTAGCATTTTCAATTTCCATAGTAGTATGAGAGCTCCAGTTACTCCATCAAGGATGGCAGTAAGCCAAAATAAACAAGGAGCCTAGGGTACATAATATTTAAGGAAATACTCTCATAAATTACAGGTTGTGGCTTAACCTACTGTGCCACAATGCTGGCCCCTTAAGTGTGTTTATTATACACAGCATATAGTTGGGTTTTGTTTTCTCATTAGAGCTCACGATCTCTGCCTTTTAATTGGCATTTACATTCAATTAAACATTTACATCTAATTTAATTACTGATAAAGGGCTTAATACTATCATTCTGCTGACCATTTTCTTTTCCTCTCATCTACTTTTTGCTCCTTTTTGTGTGTGTGTTTTCAGATGGAGAATTTTTTTTTTTTTTTTTTGAGAGACATACAGAGGCAGAAACAGAGATAGAGTTCCCATCCACTGGCTCACATCCCAAATGCTCCTAACAGTGGAGGTTGTGCCGGCCAAACCCAGGAGCTGGAATACAATCCAAGTCTTCATATGGTCAACAGGGACCCAAACACCTAAGCTATCACGTACTGTCTCCCAGGGTGCCTTATAGCAGGAAGCTGGAATTGGGAGTGTAGCTAGGACATGAACCCAGAACGCCAATAATAAGACACAGGTATCCCAAGTGGTAGTTTGACCACTAGGCCAAATGCATACCCCTAATTTATTAATTCTATTTTATTTCTTCTTTTGGCTTATTAGCTATAATATTTTGTTATTTTAGTGGTTGTTTTAGGACTTATATTTCCTGCTAGAAATATAAGCTTTGTCAGGGAGGGAATTCATATCTGTTTTGATCCTTTCTGTATTCAACGTAATCTTTTATAGCTGTATAAAAATACTTGACAGATACTATATAGCATTAATATCAATAATATAGCCATATTCAGCCCATATCCAAATCATAAAAATACAAAGGAATCAAGTAAAATAAAATCTGTTAAATTCAAATTAGACTCATTAATTAAAAAAGCAAAACAGAATAGTTATAACAATATAAATATCCCCATACTACTTTAACAATGTTTAAAGAAGATTAAAATAGTGGCTAGTATTATATTGATAACAGCCACTTACTAACAATCTGAAAATGAGTCATGGGCCATTACAACTCAGTGCTACACTCAGTTCTTGCTCTCGGTCTGAATTTAAAGCAACATATTATACATATTACAATTATGTCTGGAGATATTAAGGCTATCTGTTAAAGCTAGATAGTGAATGACAGACATAAAAACAGTTCTTGCCAGCGCCGCGGCTCACTAAGCTAATCCTCCGTCTTGCAGCGCCAGCACACCAGGGTCTAGTCCCGGTCGGGGCACCGGATTCTGTCCCGGTTGCCCTCCTCCAGGCCAGCTCTCTGCTGTGGCCAGGGAGTGCAGTGGAGGATGGCCCAAGTACTTGGGCCCTGCACCCCATGGGAGACCAGGATAAGTACCTGGCTCCTGCCATCGGATCAGCGCAGTGCGCCAGTTGCGATGCGCCGGTCGCAGCGCGCCAGCCACGGCAGCCATTGGAGGGTGAACCAACAGCAAAGGAAGACCTTTCTCTCTGTCTCTCTCTCTCACTGTCCACTCTGCCTGTCAAAAAAACAAACAAACAAAAAACAGTTCTTATCTGCAAATTTTTTAAACCTCACAGATTATCCTTTTCTAACAGCCTAAGAGAACTATTTTCTCCTTGGTAGATAGTATAGGCTTCATGTTGAATCTTAGCACTGTTACCAATGTGTAATCCTGAAAAATCACTATAGTAAGAGAAATGTATTTAAGCAAAGGACTGAATACAAACCAAGACAGTAGAATCTGAATGAGCAAAAAAGAATACTATAGGTTCATCGAAGATTCTTGGTCCAAAATCTGTAATAAATCAAACTAAAAATCTTCCTATTACTTTTGACCTGACTGTAACTTCAAGATTAGATATTACCTGAGAAATTTCCTGTTGATAAATTGTAAAATGTTCCTTGCTGATCTGTGGGAGGTAGAATGAAGGTATGACTTCAGTGTCCACAAAGTCCAATCCCCATGTTTTTGTGAAGAAGTCAGATTCTCTTTTTGCTAATCTAGGATCATTTAATGCTGCTGGGAGATTTACTTTGGAATGATATATAGTCCATCTATGTTGATCTGCAACTAGAGATGGGGCAACACATAAACTACTTGAATCACCTGCAAAAAGTAAACGAGAGAACTTTGTAAAGTTGATTCTATGTTTAAAACTACATGCTAGAAAAATTAAAATGCTTAGATTCCACTTTACACACACCAACTAAGTTAATAAAAATCAATCTGATTAAATAGTCTTCCACTTCAAGCATCAATTGCCCAGGATATGAAAAACATGCAAAAATAAAGGATATGTAAAATCTTGGGGTTGTAGTTACAAGTTGTATAAATGTTAAAGAAAGTCTTTTCATTAATTCTTTTCCTTAAATGCACAATTCCTCTTAACATTTTTTTCAACATCAAAACTCTGCTACCTCCTATGATCTATTATATATTTTCTATCCTCTAATACTCTGGTTTTATAAAGTTACAACAATTAGTGAATAGTGAACCATTGCTCCTAGAGCAAAGTAAAGGTTAAGTTCTTGTGAGCCTCTGCTCACAACACTTTCATTAACCAATCATGACATAACCTTATTTTGTGTGTGTTTCTGTTTGAAGACACCTTACTCATTACATGTAATTTACTCATTAACATCGAAGTCATGGCTAAAAGCACCATAACATGCCTGAACAAAGCTTCAGTATTTTTTTAAGTCACATTACTGCTTTCTTGTGTTTAGAACACTAACCATATAATTTTAGCACTACATTTGGAAGCATTATAAATAGCAAAATCACCAACAAAAATGCAAAACAGGAATAAAATAAAAACATCACTAATTTACAGTATGACAGGTCAAGACAAAGCTGTGCATTGCCTTGTTAAACCTCAGCTGGGAACATGTGTGTCAGACAACTGGAATTTTTCACTGTTCCATATGTGTCTGCAAATGACCTCAAATGTGCCATGAGTATTGATTTTGGGGTTATAAGAAAATTTTAGAAAAGAAGGGAATTTTTAAGTATAGAGTCAGCAAATAATGAGAACTGAATTACAACATTTTAATTAAGAAGCTTTCAATCTGTATCTTTTTCAGTTTATAAAGTAAATTTTTTACTTTACTTTTTCAGTTTATAGAATAAATATACATGAAAAGAATTTTATTCCAGTTTCCCAAATAACTTATTTCCAAATTATTTATAACTTTAACAATGTAAAATTCACTCTTTTAAGTCTTTGAACCTGACTACTCATTTAAAGATAACAGAAATCATAGTTAAAATTTTTTTTTAAAAAAAAGCATTACCTGTGGGTTCCTTGGGACACACATCGGGGAGTGACTGCACAGGTCGAATATGTTTTGATGGATCTACCTCTTTCTTAAAGAAAATATCACTGCTGCTTCCTTGAGGCACTGGTGAAGAACTGTGGCTTGAAGCCATTGCATAAAATCACCACTCAACTGAAAAACAGTACGAAACAAATAATAATTTAAGACACTTAATTCAAACCAAAGTCTATCTGTAAGTTTTATGCATGTCACATTCTTTCAAAAACAGACTTTTTTCAAAATCCCTTGAAGTATGCAATTTGAATATCTGCTATTAATAGTTCATAATATTTAGTCTGCTAAAAAGGTTGTCATTTTATATGAAAAAGAATTCTCCCCAAAGTGAAGCATCTTTACTTAGTCTTTAATCCAAAGGACAACAGATATCAATATGTACCCAGTATACGAAAAATGAACACATTCCATTCACAAATATACATTAATTATGCATTACAGCAAATGCACAAGCGGATGGGGTTTTGTTTAAGGTTGGTAGGTTGGTTCATTCATTCATTCATTCATTCATTTAAAAGGCAGAGTGACAGAGAGACAGGAAGAGAGATTTCCCACCTGATGGTTCACTCCTCAAATGCCTGCAATACTCAGGTTTGTCCCAGCCAGGACAAAACCAAGAGCCAGGAATTCCATCCAGGTCTCCCACATAGGTGGCAGGGGCCCAAGTAGTTGGGCCATCATCCACTGTCCTCCCAGGCTCATTACTGGAAAGCTGAATTGGAAGCAGAACAGCTGGGAGTAGAACCAGCTGATATGGGATACCAAAGTCAAACTGGCAGTTTAATTGGCTGCACCACAATGCTGGCCTCGGCGGGTAGATTTTTAAAGTCTGCCTGCCTGTATTCATTCATATCCCATCTTCATTAATTAGCAGTAAAACCATGAGGAAATTTATTTAGCCTTTGTGTGCCTTTCCTCATCTCTATAATAGAGTTGAAAAGAGATCCTATCTCATATTTAGGCAACACTTAATCTTTCTCATACTAGAGATACGTATAGCAAAATCCATAAAGATTATGTGGTTTAGGGGTGAGCATTTGACCTGGGGGTAAAAACACCACTTCAGATACCTACTTTAGAGTTCCCAGTTAAACACTCAGCTCCAATTCCTGATCCCAGTTTCCTGCAAATGCAGATCTTGAGAGGCAATGGTAATGACTCAGGTACTACATTTCCTGCCATCCATATGGGAGACCTGGATTGGGTTCTAGTTCCAGTCTTCTCCCTGGCCTGATCAGCCTCCAGCACTGCGAGCTTCTGAGGAGTGTGCCAATGAATGAAAGCACTTATTTGTGCTCATTCACTCACCTGCTCTCCCCTCACCTTCCTTCTTTCCTCCTCTCAAATAAATTTTAAAAATTAGAAGGAAAAGAGGATTATGTGGTTTAACACGTTTTTTTTTTTAAAAAGGCAAGTTAGGAAATCCAATTAATCAAAAAATATGAATAGCAAATAAGGAACAGAGACACAAGACTAAGGCCTGTAAGAAATAGTTCATCCACTCTACCTTCCCCCTAGTTTCCTGGAAAGCTGAAAATTAACATTTCTCAGACTTTCTTTCACATCTCTCTGTATTTTCAGTGCAAAGGAAACACAACCAAACACACCATTCACAAGGACAATAAGAAATATGCAACTGAAAAAATACAAAGCCTGTGGAGTTTGGTCCCAAGAGTCAAGATTAAGATCCCACACTCTAGGATCTATCTTCCAGTATACAAGAAACAGGGGAGAACTAGATAGTAAGGCGTATCTACAACACGAGGAAATAATCACACAAATTAAGAATGTGAGACATTACACGGTGCACTTACTCCTCATGTAGGATCTCTGTCCTTAATGCGCTGTACATTGAGGCTTAATGCTATAATGAGTACTCAAACAGTATATTTCACTTTGTGTTTCTATGGGGGTGCAAACGGTTGAAATCTTTACTTAATGTATACTAAACTGATCTTCTGTAAAAAAAAAAAAAAAAAAAAAAAAGAAAGAAAGAAAGAAAGAAAGAAAGAAAGAAATTATCAATTCCCAACTTGACTCTCACTGGGATTAAACACGACAATAGGTCTGATCTGATTTCATCATCATTTAAAAAAAAATCATCTATTATTTTTCACTTTATGTTTCTGTGTGGGAGCAAACTGTTGAAATTTTTACTTAATGTATACTAAGCTGATCTTCTGTATATTAAGATAATCGAAAATGAATCTTGATGTGAATGGAAGGGGAGAGGAAGTGGGAAAGGGGAGGGTTGTGGGTGGGAGGGACGGTATGGGGGGGAAGCCATTGTAATCCATAAGTCGTACTTTGGAAATTTATATTCATTAAATAAAAGATTAAAAAAAAAAGAATGTGAGACATTCTACAAATAAACTGTAGAAAATGGACACTTGGTCTTTTTATAAAGGTGGAGAATTATTCTAGATTAAAATCAATGAAGAGGCGGGCCGGCGCTGCAGCTCACTAGGCTAATCCTCTGCCTGCAGCAACAGCACCCCAGGTTCTAGTCCCAGTTGGGGCACCGGATTCTGTCCCGGTTGCTCCTCTTCCAGTCCAGCTCTCTGCTGTGGCCCGGGAGTGCAGTGGAGGATGGCCCAGGTCCTTAGGCCCTGCACCTGCATGGGAGACAAGGAAGCACCTGGCTCTTGGCTTCGGATCGGTGCAGTGCGTTGGCCGCAGCGCGCTGCCCATAGCGGCCTCTTGGGGGGTGAACCAATGGAAAAAGGAAGACCTTTCTCTGTCTCTCTCTCACTGTCTAACTCTGCCTGTAAAAAAAAAAAAAAAAAAAAAAAAAAAAATCAATGAAGAGGCAACAACTAAAAACATTATGTGGGGGCTGGTGCTGTACCACAGATTACTCTTCCACCTGCGGCGCCAGCATCCCACATGGGCACTGGCTCTAGTCCTGGCTGTTCCTCTTCTGGTCCAGCTCTCTGCTATAGTCTGGGAAAGCAGAAGATGGCCCAAATCCTTGGGTCCCTGCACCCGCGAGGGAGACCCAGAGGAGGCTTCTGGCTCCTGGCTTCAGATCAGCCCAGCTCTGGCTGTTGCAGCCATTTGGGGAGTGAACCAGTAGATGGAAGACCTCTCTCTCTGTTTCTCCCTGTCACTGTCTGTAACTCTGTCAAATAAATAAATTAGAAAATCTTTGAAAAAAAAAAAATCTGAGCCTTCACTGAATCCTGGTTCAAAAAGAAAAAACTGTCTTTAACAGTTTTGGAACAAATGGGAAATTTTGAATATGGATTAGGAGCTAAGATTATATTTTAGAATTATTATTTTAGGTATATTAATGATATTGAGATTATGGGAAATGTTCTTACGCTTAGCACAATAATAATGAAGTACTTGGGAATAAAGTATATCATTTGCAACTTAGTTTCAAATTATTCAGCAAAAAATACAGATAAAGCAAATATGAAAAATGTTTAAAAACAGTATCTAAATGAAATGTATATTAGTGTTCCAACTTTTAAATTTGTCATAATAAAAATCTGGGGGAAAGAACTTTACAAACCTTTCAAACATTAAATGAGTACATAAGAAAAGGAAAAAGATTCAATTTCTAACTCTTAATCCACCTCAAGATGGCATTATTGTACAACTTCAAATATGGAGGAGGAGCCTATCAGATTTCAACCAGATTTTGATGTTGTAGGAGAATTATATGTAAACTGGAATTCCTTGAAGTATGAATGAAAAGACAGCTGAGAAGGAACAACACTTATCACAGATATCAACCAGATACCGTGTAAAAACTTTTCCCTACTCCTACACAGTAATAGCAACGGTTTACAGAGAACACTGATATTATGAAAACATTCACAGTCAATTCAGAATTCCCCTTGAGATCACCTATTACAGGAAGGTAATTGTTGAGGTCCCTTTTTTCTTAATTTTTTAATCTTTCCAGACTACTACTCTAATCTACAGAAAACATCTTACCAGAGTGGTTAAACACAGATATATTAATCATTTCTCATCCCATATGGGTGCTGGTTCGAGTCCTGGCTGCTCCACTTCTGATCCAGATCTCTGCTATGGCCTGGGAAAGCAGTAGAAGATGGCCCAAGTGCTTGGGCCCCTGAATTTGAGTGGGAGACCTGGAAGAAACTCCTGGCTCTGGCTTCAGATCGGCCCAGCTCCAGCCATTGCAACCATTTGGGAAGTGAACCAGCAGATTGAAGATCTCTCTCTCTTCCTCTGCCTCTCTTTAACTCTACCTTTCAAATAAATAAATCTTAAAAAAAAAAAAAAAGCTGATACCTTTCTTTATATCTTTATAAAATCTAAACCTGTCTGCCTTCAAACATGCTTCTACCATACTATGGTCTCCTAACTGATCTCTCTGCTTCCAGTCTAAACCATTCTGCAAACTGCTTCCAGATCAATCTTCTAGAAAGTTTTCATCCTGTCATATTCATCTCAAGCTTCATAAGCTCAAACTCAATACTTCTCACAATCTAATAACTATTTTATTTTTTACCTTTATTTCCTATTACCCTTAAATAATTTCAATGGCATACATTCTAGTCTAATTGTTCCTCTAATTGATCATGCAATCCAGGCTTCCCTGTTAAGCTGTGTCCTACCTTGGAATATTTATATCATCCTTTTACATATGTAACTCTTCTTCTCTCATCAATAGTCATTAGAAGCCTAATTTCCAGATTATAGAGGGGCTTCAAAAAGTTTGAAGAAAAACGTGCATTTTCCATGAACTTTTTGAAGTCCCTAATATATTCTAAGAAAACAAACACACCCACATACCATATTGGAGAATCAGATTTCTGACCCCAGCGTCCTGTTAATACATCATGTGCTGGGAGGCAGCACATGATAGCTCAAGTAATTGGGACAGTTGAATTGGGTTCCTGGCTCCTGGTTTCAGCAAATGCCTAGCCTCAGCAGGAGAGGACATTTAGCGAGTGAACCAGAGGAGGGCAGTGCTCTCTTTCTCTCTGGCTCTCAAATGATAATAAATTTATTTTGGTGCAAAAAAAATTTCAAGCCATTGCATACAAGGGGTCTAAAAAAGTTTCTGAAAACACATATTATGAAAAAACTATGCATGAATTCAAATTTTTGCATCAAAATAAAGTTATATTTTAATTCTA